ATTTTTCTCTTTGTTTCTAACTCTCCTTTTCAGATTGTGCGTGCGTTTGTGTTTTATTTATCACTGTGTAAGCAAAACAAGAATGTTTCCAACATGTTTTTCTTACCCTAAATGACATTCGTTATTTATGTTGTCATCATCACTGTTCATATGAGGACACAGTTTATGAAATGTAAGAGTAGATCCAATTTTGAAGTAGATATTTGTCATTAGCAAAATAAACTCGTTACTTCCAACCGTACAAATGAACGGAAAGATAAAAACATTTAATCTTCTGTTTATGACCGTTTTATGCTACTCATGGTAAAAACCCTTGCGGAAAACTATATACATATATATATACTTTTATCTCAGAATGTGTTTTCACATTAAAGTGTTATATGAGCTGGGTTTTAGCTTAACTCTTACACAAGTCCTTCCTCCGGTGATGGCTATTTCCAGCATATTACTGAGAATTTTGCCATCTAATATTCAACTGCAGGCAATACGCAATACTGAATGTGTTTTTATGCATATATGTCTGCAAACTGTATTCACGCAACTAAAATAGTGATGAATTAAATTGTTTTACAACGTAAATTTACCTAACTTGTAGGGATTTGTTTTGTTTCAAGTCAGATTTTGGACTGACTTCAGGTAGAGAACAATTGAAAACCAGGAATTAATGCACAGCTGTTTCTTCCTAGTTCAGGACTTCATCGGTTCGCATCCATGACTCCAAAAGAGACTGAACCCAGACTGTTTAGATTACGAAGCGAGGTCGCTGACCATTCAGTCACTAAGACGGAATCCCAAGGTCTGTGAATTCCAACTTCTGTTAATTCGTGGTTTTACCTAATTTTATCAGTTATTAAGTTAGAAATTGTTTTTAGTGGTACCTAAAACTACGTGACACAATAGTAATAAACATAAATTACTAATCTGTAAATTTATTATATTGTTATTGTTTCCTTTGTTTCCTTTAGTTCCTAGAAGAACATATAGCACGTCTCCATTGCGTTCAGTTCTCCGCCAACGTTTTCACCTGGCTCCATGGCTCCCCCACATGATTTCATCTCCTCTTCACACCACCTCCTCCATGTCACCCTCGAACTGACGATCAGCTTGCCGCTTCCCACTCGGGTTCCACTCGAGCGATGGCCAGGCATGTGATGTCACTTTATGGTTTGTTTTCTCAGAGTATAGCCAATCCAATCCACCTCCATTTCTTCCTGCATATTCGTTGCACAATTGATTCCTCGTTGGTTCGCTCATTGCCAGAGATCCCTGTTGCTCATCTTTTCTGGCTGGCCATCTGATCTTTAGTAGTATTGAGCGAAGACGGCTGTTGATGAAGGTCTGTAGTTTGTTTGTAGTTTGCCCTTCGTGACGCCGCCCCAAGTCTCTGATATGTATAGTGAATAGCACTGACTTCACATTGGAGTTGAAAGTCCTGATCTTATTTTCATTTTCATACTGAGTGCTGTTGATCTCCATACCGACCTGAGAGTAATGAAAGCTTGCCTTGCTTTCCCGATCCTCGCTTAGACATCCTCATCAGTTCCGTCCGCCTGTAGTTGAAACGATGCTTCCGAAGTAGGTAGGTAGTTAGGTGGGTAGGTAAAGGAGGTTGCTTCTTTCAGATTTCTCCCATTTATGCCGATTGTTGTCTGTTATTGTTGCTGTTGATGTTGTCCGGGAATCTTCATCACCTCTGTTTTCTCTCTGTTCACCTTAAGTCCCATCTCTGATGCTTCCTCTGCCAGATTTACTCTAAATTTACTACATGTAATTCAAGACAAGTATATTTCGGAGTGAAATGTAATACATGCGACAGTAAAATAATTTTAACATAAGTAACTATGATTTCAAGAATGAAATATGCCTTTTCTGGGTGCTCGTGTGGTGATTTTTGGAACGATCTTGAGGTTGCATTACGCAAAAACTAAGAATTCGTACTAGACTTATTACTTATGACCATTTTCAGCTGTAGGAATGAGATTTAAATATAGATAGATATAATAGATGTTTATGAGACTGAATATTAATTCTCATCTTAAGATCTTCATTATTTAAATGCTTATAACATTTGTCTTTATAATTCTTTTAAATTTGTGACTAACCAGGTATTCGACTATTAGTTTCTTATATGTCGAAAAGTCTCACAAAATAACTTTTGTCTTAATATGAATCTCTAGTACTAATAAAAATAAAGTATTTTTGCTATTATCCTTTTTCTTTCTTAGCCCTCCTTGAGACAGTAATGTAGATCTTTCCAGGTAGTAAGCTAATTTGTCCATACAAGGTTTTATTTCATTAGTCTACTGAATATCCTTAACACCACTGGCTGAATTTCATCTATAGCCTGAAGCTTTACATCTACTCTAATTTTTACCTTTTCGACAAGTGTTCAATGCATTTACTGATAGCCATTAGAGTAAGCTGACATCAATTTCATTTGTTTGCTATTTTCTAATGAACAGTAGAGTACAACTAATTACATTTCAGTATGTTATCATGAGCTGACATAGGTTAGAAATCTATTGGAAAACCTAGGAGTACTGACCACCTGTTTCGTCCTGGTTCAGGAATCTTGATCATTTTGCCTCCGTCAGGGTTCGGGCTCGAAACCTTTCGGCTTGCAGAGAGAACTCGTAGACCACTAAGCCACTGGGACCCTATCCAATGATCCATTAATTCCAACTTCTGCCAATTCACGATATATTATGACCACTAACCAATGTAATTGGCGAGTATATGGCCTCACATCCGACCTGCCTTATGCCACTGGTCACAAATTCCCACTAAAATCCAGGTAACTACATACCTGAATAGAGTCAGTCGCTAGCGAAATGATCCTCTAGCCGATTTCTACTCGTGATGAAATACAGTAATTAATCAAACCCCTGCAAACCAACACTTGGACATCTATATTTCACTTTTGTATTGTATAAATGTGATAAAATAAATCTGATGCACCGTATCTAATAAGTTCATCCAACATGTCACTCAACAATGAAATAGTATAGGCTGAATGAACTTTGAAGTACATTTTATTGCACGTAATCTATAATAGCTTGAAACTCTACCACGCTGTCTATGTTCTATTCTTACACTTATAAATACACTGTACCATTTTCATTTTCTAATGTCGCACAGTATCACGAAAATGGCGCTTTTTTTTATCTTCTCCTGGTGAATAATAATAGTTTGATTTACTTCAATGACTGGTAGGGACTAATGGCAACTGCGCATCACAGAAAGCAGGTAACCACATCATTTCGATAATTGATAATAATTTCAAAACACGGATAATAGGATTCCAAACCGTGATGACACCTGATTCTCATGAATCCTGACTGTAGACAGGTTAAACTAGACATCAATTCATGGACATACATTTCTGTTTGTAGTATGTCTGCTAAGTATGTTATCTCTCTCCAAGCGCTAGGACTTTACTGTTAAAAAAGAGAAAAAAATATTACTATCTTAAATGGTTTCTGTGATTTTATTTATTAATTTCCATGCAACAAGCCTGAAGCCACACATATTGTGGAATGGCTGATGAAACTAACCAGCTTCATATGCCAACGTACGTACAGCTGGAATCGACCCGGCGACCAGGTGTCTGAAAATCATGTTGAATTAAATTTCGATACTTTCTATCTCCAAGTCAGAATTCATGTCAAAAGACATCCTAGGCATTTTAGCAACTATCTGTTTGAATGAGTTGCTAAGTGACAGAAATTTCGATGAGAATATGTTTCTTGAAAGTATCAACAAATGTCAATCCTAAAGCCAAAAGATTCTGCCAACAAAATTCATATTATTATTATAACCGAACACAGTTTATTAAAATACTATAATTTAGCGACAAATGGCAGGTTAGTTTCTTAGTCAGTACAATTATGCTGAAAGACAAGGGATGTTAACTAACTAATTCAAAATAAGAAGAAGCACAGATTCTTGATTTTACCGTTAAACGTCATTTAGTGACTGAAATGTTTGAATTAGCATTTAAAAAGTGCAACAACAAATAGATTTGTTTATAATGTTTATATTAACACATTAATAATACCATTATTATATTCATCACACATGTACTGGCATTATTGTTATTCTTCCAGTTTTCCTTATGAAAGCCAAAATCTGAAGAATGGTCGAAGGAACAGAAGGTTGGCAAATTAAGCTGCAAATACCCACCATTATATGACCAGTTGTATTTATCAAAACATAATTGATAATATACTTTCTGTGATCATCAGTCGAGTGCTTGCACTTTATATTTACTCAGATCAGACATCTAGTAAGCATCCGGGTTCATAGATTAGGCCACTGGTCCTATGATCTAATTCTCAGTGGGGTACTGTTTTGATTTTAGTTACTATTAGTGAAGGCTAACTAAGGTTGTCCGGCGTAACCAAGCCTTTTTTTTATTCCTTCACGTTCCCCAGTGGAACAAAGGGTTTCAAGCTAGAGTCTTGAAGTTTCTGTAGCAGTGTTTATTTTTACAGGATGGGGTTGCTGGTCTCATGCCCAACCTTTCCTCTTCACCAGCATTATTTCTGGCTTAGCGAGGTAAAGGAGTGCGCCGGCCGGGCATCGAACCCCCGACCATGTGCATGGTCGGCGAGCGTCCTAACCACTATGCCACCAACGCACCAAGCCTTATTGTCCATCAATTAAACAGATCCTTAATCAATGTTTAGGTGACATCTATAGGTAAAATTTTAAGAAGCGAAACTGAAAACATCTATAATGCTTTTTCATTTCAACTTAATAAGTATTCATGTGGTGTCTTTGGGTCACTTTACGATGAATTGCAAAAATGAAATAATAAGGAAACAGGCACTTAGAAATGTAAAAACTAGATATCTTTTTCGTCTTATTTTAACCATCTTAAGAAATCTGTGATCTATGGTGTGTAAAATCTTTAAAAAATTCAGCTTTCATTTCCAGCATGCCGTTATATAACCATCAGGACACAGCGGAAATTACTCCATAAAATATGCTTTACTTACCTGTACAGAGAATATTTTCCATTTGGAATGAAGGAGCTGGCGCTAACGGCTGTCTTGACGTTTGTCCTAGTAGGGCTTCTAAACATTGGTAGTTTGCATAGTCATCACCAGAAACTGATAAATCCTGAAACTTATTCAGTTGTGTAATAAGCTGTTGTCTTGCCTGTTGCACTTTACTGTTTTGTTCAGAAAGTGGAATGCCTTCGGGAACTGAAACCATGGATTGCTGAGGAGCTAATATAGGCTGAGACACTTTGGGTTCGTTGGCAGTTGTATCAGATGTACAGTACCTACGTAGAGATTGCATTGTAGGTGTCATCAGTGATGCAGGATTTATTATCCGCATTGCTGATGATTCGTCACCAGATGAATATGAAGAACGTAGTTGTGGTGGTTGCTTATGACTGCTAGTAGCACTACCACTACTAAGCAGTAAAGGGACCTGCCTTTGGATATTCGAAGGGATATTACTTGAAGATTTTGCTGAGCACTGCATAGCAGCCATAGCAGCAGCCGCGGCGGCAGCTGCTGCCGCTGCTGCAGTCGCTTGTTGTTGTTGCTGTCTGATCTGTTGCTGTTGTGCTTGAAAGTGGATTTCTTTCGCATTATTAATGGCAAGTTCAGAATCAGACCAACGATTTGGTGCAATGAATTTTTGTTGGTTCATTGATGAGTCCATGGATGGAATATTAGACATGAAAGATGGTTGTGATTCCACCCGTGACTTATTCACAGAGGCTGCTGCTAACAAAGCTGAAATTAGTTGTTGGTAATTCGCTTGCTGTTGGTTTTGAATCTGTTGTGTTTGCTGTTGCTGTTGGCTTATTTGACCTGTTTGTTGTTGAAAATAAGGATTCACAAGAGTATTAGGTAAGTTTCTGGATTTACTATCGGTTAGTTGATCCAGATTAGAGAGCAAACCCTCCGTGAAAGTATCACGTAGGTGACTTTGTTGCTGATTTTGTTGTTGCTGTTGTTGTTGTTGACGTTGCCAATTGGACAACAACTGCCCGGCACGAATATTACAAGTCCCAAGTCCTTGCTGTACTGTTGTACGATTAGTTGGCATATACACATAGTCACGTGCTGAGCGCAACTGAGATAACATTTTGCTTTGATCACATACGCCCCCTGTTAAATCTGCACTGTATCCTGAAACTGCTCTACTTGGTCCAGGTAAATTCGTCTTATTTATGCCTTCTTCCGGAACAAAATGTACGCGAGGATTTACATTTTTACTTTCATTCAAATTGTATCTATTAGACTGTTTATCACAAGTATAGTAATCTTGATAAACAGATTTATTTGGATTATCGGTCATGTTTCTATTCGGTTCTCCAATGAAGTTAGTGTAATCACAAAAATTGGTATACTTTAAATTATCAAATTGAAAGCTCCACTTGGGTGTCAAGTTCAAATTTCTAACTGATCCAGATAAACTTGATACAAGTGAAAGTGTTGACTCGGAACTTGTTTCAAATGCTGAGTCAATTGAACTGAAATTTGGTTTTTTGAGCTTTTTCAAGATCTGATGCTTATCAAAATATTTATTCTTGCTGTAATTGTTTCTTTTTTGAAGAGGAGAAAAATGAGGGCAGTCTGGCTTAGAATTATCATATGGATAATTTCCAAAGCAGACTACATGTTTTCTTGGTGCAGTGCATTCTTGATATAACTGAAAATGAGAATTTGAAGGGGAAACAATAGTGTTCGCAAATTTTATTAATTGTGATTCCTCTTTATTGTTGTTATGTACTAACAGTTGTGAATCGATGTTTGAATGACCCTGATTATGATCAGTATTTGTGGTATACAGTTCACTAGAAATTCCACTGTCTACAGATTCTTCAGCCATCTGATGCTCCAAATGGAGCTTAGTGTTTCTGACTAACTTACCTTTGGTATACTTTGTTATTTGAGCAAGAGAGAGACTATCAATGTAAATATTGATTCTGACAGTTCTGTAATAATGATAATTACTGTCTGTAATACTATTATGCAGCTGAAGATGATGAATAATTTTGGAAATGCACTTAAAAATTAGTAATTTGAAAAGTATTGTCGTATTATCAAGGGATTTGCAATTATTGTATACTAAATCTTTAACGTGGCTTCTGTTTGGTGGTTGCTTATTAGATTTCAGTGTTTTGCTGTTCAAACAACAAAGTTGCTGGTAATATGTATATGTGTTCAAAACCTGGTAATCGTTGCTATGAATAAAATGTCTGTATCGATGACAAAAATCAACGTAGAAATAATAAAGTGAAAAGATGGAAGGAGATAGAGACACAATACAGTAACAACAACGACACTGAATATACACCAGTTTATGCATCCTACTAAATGAGTGAAGTTCTTTCTGTTGATTAAAAGTTTTCTCGGTCCATGTTTAATCCATTTACCAGTGTTAATACAGGGAAAGACTATACTGTGCAAACCTGACCAACATTTAGCCATTAAATTTCAGGTGATCTTCAAAAAAAGATTGTTTTATCGTTTGCTTGGTTATTTATATTACTGTTGTCATGGTTATCTGTGATAAGTAGGAAGTATCATTCATATCTGTAGATGCGATGATGTAAAGAATGGAATTTAATATCTCTAAATCTGTATGATTTGTAATTAACCAAGGATATTTGGGAAAATGAATTTTGTAATTCCTCAGATTTTAGAATCAAACTACTCAACATCTATACAGGCGGTTTGGGGAACTGTGCCATTTAGCGTAGATGAAACCCGATTCATAAAAGGATGTGAAGGGCTACACGATTTAAGTAAATATCTGTAATTGCAGTGTGAAAGAAGTCATCCTCTATTTCAAAGTTTTGACACTTAATTTTCATAGACAGGCAATGCACGTGTTATTAAATCATTCCATTATTTTTTCTGCATGCTGTTCTTTATTGTCCAAGTATATACAACGAGCATAGTCGTAGTAGCTAATGCGATTCGTATCAGTTGTAGGTGAATAATAACAATAATAGTAGTTGTAGTAGTAATTGCATTAGTATTTATCAGTGGGCATTCATAAAGAATTTATAACAAATCGATTTATTCTGTTATGGAGTTGATAACCAATCAAATCGAAGGATAGAGGAAGATATATTGAGTAAGTGGGTGGCTAGGCGTATTTGCTGCCTATATACACACGTGAAACATTGAACAATAAGACTCAAACACGTCTGTTTGTGAATTGCCTGCATATGTTTGTATGTATGCGCATGCATATATATTGATGTTTAGAGTGGAAATTTTTCCTTTAAAAATTTTTGGCAGTTATGCTCAAATACAACACTAAAATACGACCATATACATGTATGTGTTTTGAGGAATATTCTCGCATATTCTAGATAGACAGACATATACTGCATCCAATGGAATCGCTGTATACCTTCTTAATGGCAAAAGAGGTAATAAATTTTGTTAAGAATGTTTTGAATTATTTGCCAATTTTGCTTGGCTCTGAACTTTAAAAAACAGTATCAGTAACAGTAACAAGCAAACAAACAGACTAAAAAACTAGACTAAACTAGTTTTGTTTGAGAGCAGCACATATTGTCTCCCTTGTGTTAGTGCACACACACACTCACACACCACATAGTCATAAAAAATCAACTATCGGATGATTAAATGCTTACAACACACACGCACTATGCTTGCAGTAAACATTTGGAACATGCAAAGGATAAGCTCATGTGCTCATAAACTAATGAGAATTATACAATGTGCAAGAAACATTTTTGGTGGTTAAATGGAATCAGCTTATATATACTACACAACGCACTAGGTGAAGAGAAACAAGGAGCCTTTCATTAGAACATTTTCTACTAAAGAGGTGATTCAGGATGAAAAAATGAGTTGTTTTCTTTTCTTTTCCAGGAAAATATAAAAGAGGAGAAATGAAAATACCCCTGGGAGTAGGTAGATAAATGCGAAAATCCTAATATTTATATAAACAAATTAAAAACAGAAAAAATGGCTTTAGAACATTCATTGAAGAAAACTAAATGAAAGGAGATATAAGCAACAATGATAATAGTAGTAGAAGTAATAATAAGTTTATTACGTAAATAAATCATCTGTTCGAAGTAGATTCATGTTACATGATACTAATAAGAATGATAGTTGCTTAGTCAAAATCAGAAAATACTGATATACATAACTGTGACTTTGAACTTGTTTATTTTACTACTGAAGTCATCACCAAGGCAAATCATATTTGTCATTTCCAAATTAGAGAGTTCAAGGGAAAATTTGCCACGAAACCACAATACGAGGCCTGCTTCACAGTTTGAATGGAAATCAAGACAACCAGCAAAATAGCTTTATGATGTGAACTGCTGACTGAACTAAGGTCGAATTGATCTGGCATTTTAGCATGCTCGTGATTGTATTCATCATCAGTGTATCCTTTTAGATTTAGCTCAGTTAGCTAAATCTGTCGAACCAATTTTGTAGAAACAAATGGTTAGTAATATTCAGACTATGAATATGATGTTCTGTAGGTGAAAGTAAGTCAGTTTGTACGTATTTGAGTCTTTTTTGAATAAGCTAACTGAACCACGCATATTTTGGAGATGTGGGTTACTAGTTTAAGCACTGGATTTACAGCCAAATGGTCTTGGGTTCGAGTTCTGTACAACCTACTTCACCCTCAGCAATCAGATGGTCTAATCAACCCTCATACAATTTGTGCTGCACATAACCTGATATATGAGAAAGTAGTTTCGGGTAACTGAATTCAAACGAACAGGCTAATTGAGACCTATACCACACATGTTCAGCCAATCATTTTCTCTAAAGGTAACACTGACTGAAGTAGAACTTGACAAAATGAATATTAAAGAAAGATGATTGAACCATAATCCATAAAGTGTTCGACAGTTCTTTTGAGCGACCTAAAAAACCAAAGTTTCTCTAGTTAGGGACTTTGAAATACCAAAAATCGGGAAAAGCGGAAACGATCAGTTGCATGCTTTTATGTACACTTATACTAGAGTACTTGCAGTTATTCTGTACCATCTTCGTCACTAGGATCAATTTCAGCACTTAATTCATCTCTTATTATTATTGGATTAATTTAACTCTATTTCATTCGGCTTTAACAATACTTGTGCGTTCTTCCAAATAACACCCAATAGAAATGTCCCATTTCTATGGAAAGACAGATTTTGATTACTGTTTTGTTATTTGCTGAGATGCCATATTGTCATTCGTAGTGCAAACAAAAGTCAATAAGTTGAACAGTAGATCACAACGGTATGACATTCGCTTTGTATTCTTTAATTAATGAATTCAGACAACATAGCGTGTGATAACTTCGTTGCTTGATATACGGCAACTGACAGCTTCTAAAAATTTTTTACAAACGCTAATTAAGTGCATTTTACTGAAGGAGGTAATTATCGTATTTCTCTTCTGAAAGTAACTTCCTTCATTAGGCAGTACGCTGGTATTCATTTTTCGACATAATACCCCACTTATTAAGTCGCATCTTAGGTTTTTGCCATAGTGAGTATCTAGGAATACCAATTCGTCATTTCATTCCTTATTTTGCCTGTATGATACTTTTATAGGTTTCACTGATGCAATCAGGTGAGTTTTTACATTGACTTATTTTGAGAAATAAAAAAGTCCCGAAAAATACCCATTAAGACATTGAAATAAGAACAAATTAGTTCAGCGAAGAGTCTCTTTTCGGCGAATTCATTCACTTAGCTGTACAGTCGCAAATATATACAATTAATTTTGTGTGTGTGTGTGTACATTAGGTTTGTCAAAATCAAAATAACAGTTAGTGTGGGTTGTTGATTACATCATCAAAATAATTAAGAAATTAAAATGTGTGATTAATAATCAAAGTTGTAACTAAGTGGGGTGAAGATTGGTAAGATGTGAGTAGGGTTACGTATATAGACATGCTTAGAAAGATTATATGTTAGTGTAGGAGTATGGAGACAATTATGAACATAAACTAGATAATAGGTGAAAAGATTGAATGGGTTAGTTACTAAAAATTATTACACGAAAATTGCAAAAAAAATTGATAACAAAATGTTGATGACAGATAAACTTGAAATTAAACCCACGGTAGTAGGAGGGGGTGGAGAAGTTTCTTCTGTGTGTATAAATCAGGCTTTTCTATCCAAATCACTAAGGCTTCGGCAATACAAAGTATACGGAAGCTTGTCGATTTCGGAAGGCTTCTTTTGACTTTATAGATGACTTTGAACGACTTCTCCGTGCAAATCGAATGACCAGTGTTGAGTATATGCTCAATAATGGCGCTCCTTATTTCTCCGTTGTTACCTTTCCGTAGCCAGGCGGGATAGTGTTCTTGAACTCTTTTAGATAAAACTCGCATCGAACAACCTATATAACTCGCTCCGCAAGAGCAGGTGAATTGGTAGATACACATGGAAGTGGTCAAATGCGATAGTTTATCTTTAGAGTGGTTGAAGAACAATGGCCGGGAGGAAAATGTCAGTTGTAGTGTGGCAGCGAAGAATGTCCTTCTGAGAGCAGTAGATATCCTCTTCTTCAAGGTGTCAGCCAGAAGGTCACCTTTGAAGGGTACATTCATGTAGACCATCTTCTTCTGCACTGTAATGGGTTGTTCTTTGTAATTCTTAGGCTTAATATGCTTGTCCATAGAACGAGGTGGGTAGCCATTCTCGAGCAGTGTCTTCCTTAAGAAGGTGATCTCTTCCTCTATTGATTCAGGACTGCAGATTTTTCGGATTCTATAGTGGCCACCCCGCCATCAAATTTACAATGGAAGTAGAAACCAAAGAGACAATCTCCTTTCTGGACGTTCTTTGAAGTAAGAAGACCGATGGTACCTTGAGCAGATCAGTACACAGAAAACCTACGTGGAACGGTCAGTTGACAAACTTCTACAGTTGGGTACCAATTAGTCGCAAGCGAAACTTGATAATATCTCTGGTGACTAGAATCCGAAAAATCAACAACCCACACTAACTGTTATTTTGATTTTGACAAACCTAATGTACACACACACACAAAATTAATTGTATATATTTGCGACTGTACAGCTAAGTGAATGAATTCGCCGAAAAGAGACTCTTCGCTGAACTAATTTGTTCTTATTTAAATAAAAAAGTCTCTTCATTAAAACGAATTACTAGAATGATAACTGATTCTAACTTCTATGAACACATATCAGCTAATCCGTCTTGTTCTTTACTCGCCCAGTTGAATTTGGAATGGATGATGAAGTATACATTGATTAGATCTGTTTAGTTTATAACACTGAATTTCACTAGGCAGGAAGCCCACCGTTTTATTTTTGACCCGATATTGGTCGCTTGACGGGGAAAGTGGACATAATTCCTCATCCATTATTTGTTTTGAGTTTCACGTCTTTGAGGCTTATAAATCTTGAAAAGGGGAAATCTAATTGTTTCTCTGTGTTTGTGTAAGGTGGCCTTTCACCAAACAATGTATCACAGTAATTATTTGTTCTTGGTTAAAGCTGTCTCAAGAAAATAATAAAATGTCGATCACTATAATTGGTTTATAAGAATGTGTTTGCTATTTTTACAATCTTTTCAAACCATCAGAAGCACTATATATATATATATATATATACAGAAGCACTATATATATATATATATAGGTGAATGAATTTCATCCCCAGAATATTTATTACTGGTCACTTTACACAAAATAAAGTCCCTTCATAAAAATTGACTTCCTCACTACATTGTATTGCCTTTTTGTTTTTCTTCAGAACTAGGCGTTATATCGAGACGCCTTAAAATGCAAATGATAGTAAGTGCTTCCTGCCGTAAGGGTTGTTGACTTTTAGGTAACTTTGTTTTGGCTTCGACGTTTGCCTGATAATTATCATATACATAGTAATAATTATATTAGAGTTTAACTAGACTTTACGAAGCTGATAAATGTTAAGGTTTGTTTTAATTTTTCACTGGGTGATTCCAAGTTCTCAGGTGTACATGAAAGAATCTCCAACAAGACATTTAATGACGTCGACGTATTCATGGTAAATAGTCTATCTGATACAAGTCATTTGCTGAGGGGGACTTCGTCATGTACCGAATAAGCTACTTCTGCCTGCCGTCAGACCAACGTAAATGGAAAATAACAGACACAATGAGACCATATTGTCCGCATATGTATAC